TATCTATAAAACTGCGGAATCTTTAAAACTGTGAAGTGAAAAAAACAACAAACATGTTCAGAATGTGAACAAACAACATGCAAGTATGTGCAAAAAAACAACAATACTAGTCCAACAGGTGATGTTAATCCAATTAGCAAAATCACTGAATGGTGCAAGGATACCTGGAGTCTGTAGATTGTAGGATGAGTCATAATATTCTGATCTTTTCAATGTAGAATCATTAGAAGCTTCAGCTTCTTCAGCAATACTACTCATAGATAATGGTTCATTTCTGCCATTTTTGTGAACTTCAGATATGTTGAAAGTTATCTCCCCTTTCTGAGCCTGGTTCATCATCAAAGAGATTTCATCCAAGATGTCCTTTTCAAGCTCTGATTGTTGCTTCCGAATGTCAATTTTGGTACTTGTTCGCTGCAATTTGTCATAGATTTTTGGTTCACTATAGATGACTTTCTTTTCAGGAGGACCACCTCTGTCTGGTTGAGGGTTTGGTAGATTAGTATGGTACTCTCTCCTGTACTGGGAAGACAGTTGGGAATCTGTACATGGTATCTCATAAACAGGAGACGGTTCAGATTCCTGAGTATCATGTCCATAAATTTGGTAACTTTCAGCTTGAAGCTTCAAAGAGAACTGATTCTCGTATTCACTCAGATGTAAAAGTCTTGTGATTGGAGGAGGGTTGTCAAAGAATGGAACAGCATATTTTGGTGAGTTTCTTTCCTCCATCATAGCTTGCCCTTGTAAAGGCGGTGGTGACATGGATGGGTCTATTAAAGTTGATGGGTTGGAGAGACTCATATGAGATATATGTTGAGAAGAGCTATAGGTATTACCAGATACAGCTGTCATATCTTGGTTCAGATTCAGAGCACTAGAGAAGGCTTGAACTAAGAAAAAATTAAATGGATATGAATCTAAAATGGATGCATCAGTTTTAAGGATTAACATTGAAGGAATTCCAGGCACATAATGCAGAATGTTACCTGAAGAAGCCTTGTTATATAAACAATCCATAAAGTCAAATGCATAAAGTTCTCATGATGCAGTTCAGCAGGTCTTGTCTTGCAAACTTCATGACCTCACCAGACATGCTCAAAACATGAACAGTGACTACACTCATGACGGATGGTGTCTTATCACTCAAGGGTAACTTGTCATGACTTGTACCAACTTCCTATTGCAGCATCTGGGTTGTAGTTGGCTAAATATTTCATATATTCCAAATATTATAAGCCAAACAACTTTAAAACTTAATGCAGTCATACAAAGGCATAGCATACTTTAAAATGATGGTCGAGAGAAACACCAAGTCTGAATTTTAAAAATTTATTTGAAAAATATAAAATTTTGTATAAAATTATGCAACAATATAAATTTTTTTACATGTGAACACTCAACATCATTCAAAAGTATATCATGCCTTTAAGTATACAATAAGGCAAGAAATAACATGTGAAAAAGAATAAGAGAAACTATTCATAAGCAGATCACAAGGAGAGACCCATTGTGTATCCATTTTAAGGAGAAAATTATGAATGTTCAATATTCATGATCAAAATCTTTTCCTAATGCTAATTTCTCAATCAAAACAGGAATATCAGAGGAGAATCAATCCCTGGGGTTGTTTCATTGTTTTCAAGGGATTTTAAAGAGGTTTTTGAAGTGACACTGAGAGTATCAATTTGCACCATTCCAATTTTCAATCAGACGTCCATGGTTCCTGCAATTTCACTAGAACTTAGTGTTCGATGACGTTACTAATCGCAAATATGCTTGTATCACACAAGGCCCTTTACGATTGGTGATGTCATCAAGCACTTAGTTTTAGAGGAATCGCAGGAAACACAGATGTCTGACTGAAAAATCAAATGATGCAAATTGATGCTTTCAGTGTCCCCCCAAAACAATTTTTTTTTAGAAAACTTCTTTACAATCCCTTTAATGTTAATGTATAAACAGCATTTTAAAATAAAATGAACCATAGTATAACAGATGACAGATAACAGAATAACAGATGAATGATAATGAGACACAAATAAGAAATGTAAAAATAATGTTTTGGTAGTATAAATATTTCATCAGATCAATATAAATATATGATAACCTATAGCACCACAAAGCTAGAAGTAGATCTTTAAGGGACAGATTCACATTGGAAAAAATCATATGTATGCCAAGGTAACTAACACATATAGTGAAAGCATAATTGCCTCACTCAAAATTGGCTTTCTGAAATAGGCTAGAGAACATACTTTTTTCGAGAAAAAGTCTTAAATAAACTATACAGCAAACAAATTGAATCCATCTTGCTGTCTGTTATGACCATAAATTTAGGCTTATTAGATAGAATAGATGTCCCTTTCAGTACTACAACGAGAAGCAATTTTTATGATAATAATATAGCTTACTATTGGGATCAGAAGACTTTTGACTGTTTTGTAATTGTTGAACTCTTTCATATGCTGCCCTTAACTCTCTAGCAGAGATATCTTCCCATCTATCTTTACCTGGTGGTTGCTGACCTTGACCTCTTGGACCAGACTTGAAATAAAAAAAAAATTCTTAAAAAATTTGTCAACATGGGATGAGCAATAGGTACTGAGCACCGTAACTGTCCTCTTTATGTGAAAAGGAATAACTGTGAATATCATCTTCAAGTGATATGTGCCCATATTCTTATCAATGCAGTGTCAGTATAAGACTATCAGTAGGCTACTATTTTGAAGCTATTTTCCAATATACATAAAATAATAAAATTTGATTAACCAAAGATAATAAAACAGTTTTTCTGCTTCAGATTGAACTAATAAAGATGGGAAACTCATCCAATGTGCATTCGGGAAAATTATACTCTTCTTTGACGTCTGACTTTCAAAGACAGCATAAAGCGCACAAGATTCTGATCTAAAAATGTTCACTACTTTTAGCTACATTGAAGTTGATATTCAAATTTTTGTAAGAAATAGTCAATAAAATTCTAATTAGAACTAAAGACCGAACACAGAAAATTTTTTGAAAAAGATAGCATGAACATATTGACATACCTGTTGTTGATTATTGCTGGGATATTGGAAATAGGGTGATTGCTCCATTCTTCTCCTTTCATTTTCTGCTGAAGTCAGATACTGTGTAGATGTTTTGGGAGTTTTGTCTTTTGCTAAATCCTCTATCATCTGTTGGCGATAGCTTGATGGGTAAGGTGGGCGGTTTGGACCATTTTCAGCAGCGTTTTGATTTGGATTAGAACCAGGTGGGAGATTAATATAGTTTGGTGGAATGTCTATTGTGAGTCCTGGATTCCTATCAGGAGAAAGAGATTTTCTGGGAGCAGCAACAGGATGACGATGTTCAGGTTGTATCTGATCATTAAGGTTACTGCGACTACCAGGATAACTATCTTGTGGGTTCCTTGAGTAGCTATTCCTTTGTTGGTTATTAGGTTCTCCTGGATAACTGTCCCTTTGGTTGCCTGGAAAACTATCTCTAGTGTTACTATGATAGCTATTTCTCTCTCTAGGATCCTGAAGATGTTTTGGCTCTCGCTGTGATCCGGCATAGCTGTTTCTAGGGTCATTGCTCCTTTGCTCTGGAGCTCCATGAAAACTGTTCCTCTGACCCACGCTTCCTGGATAGCTATCCCTCTGTCCAGCAGAACCTATAAAGCTATTTCTTTGATCACCTTGAGTATTGTTTCTTTGTTCATTGGCACCATAAAAACTATTTCGTTGTCCAGTACTTCCAACAAAGCTATCTCTTGGTTTACTACTTGCATAGCTGTCTCTTTCTCTTTGGATATTGGGCTCTTGAATGTGCTGCGGTTTGTTTTGATTTGGTATTTGAGACCTAGGTGCTGCTACTGGTGGTCGCCCTTGAATTCTGGAAGCTTCATTAGGTCCTTGGTTGCTATGATGATAAGGATTAATCTTATGATTAAAACTACTATCTCTCTCTGGAGGTTTTGGAGGTCCAAAGCGATGATGATCAGCAATGGTGCCTGTGAGATTAGGCTGAGATTGAGTTCTGTCTTGAAATTCAGGGAAGATTCTGTCATTTGGTATCCTGTGGGTTGCTGGTCCTGGAAGATTTTGTAAAGATGGATGATGAGCAGTGCCAATATAGCGTCCTGGATAGTCATTTTGATTAGTCATTTCCCTCTGATTTTCAGCTCTTTTGGGAGAATAAGCACCATCATAAGACATCCTTTGAAGCTGCTCTCTTGACATTGGTGAATTTTCTTTAAGGCTACTGTAGGAGATACCTTTAGGATCATAGCTATTTCGATGAACTGCAGCATTTGGGTTATCTGGGTTAAAAGGATTGTTGTCAAATTCTCTTTGATCACTCCTATCTGATGCCATAGACTGATGTCTGAGATCTCGCTCCACCTCAAGTATGTCAGGTCTCAAATTATTGCCACTTCCCAAATTTTCATTATGCCACCGCTGAAGACCTCTTGGTGAGTTCTCGTCACTGTTTTGACTGTTTGAATATCGTGAGCGAGGATCATCTTTATGCACTGATCTTGGATCAAGGTGGGGATTATTGTGCTGCTGATTATTATGGGAACTTCTTGAGTCACCATGCCTTAACATCGGGTAATCTCCATAACCATCAGACTCATAAGGATCATGTCCACCTCTACCATGATCTCCATGCTTCCGAGATGGTCCAGGACTCTTCCAAGATCTTTCCCACTCTGAGAGTTTTTCATAGAATGGAATTTCATCATCAGAATCATCATGTGACACTATTATTGGTGATTTGGGAATCAACTTCATATTATTGAGTTTAGTAAAGTTAGTAAGGTTGTTGTTTGTTTCCCTGTGGAACCTAAAACAAATGAAGTAATTTGATATCTTAAATTCACATAAATTGATATAATGTAAATTAGGAGTAGGCCTATGCGCCCATTTACATGGAATACCTAGCCCGGGCCAGATTAAAGAAAAAAATTAGTAGTTCCTCAACAGCAATAGTGGATAATGAAAGGAGACTTACTGCGGTGAATCTTTAAGAGTAGCAGCTTCCTGAACACTACGTAACCAGGAATTCAAATCATCTATAGAATCTGCTGCTAAGTAGCATGTCTTTGTGTTTTCATGTTCAATCTACAAATTTAAAATGAACAGTATTCTACCAATAGGTGATATAACCTAAAGGTTGAGACATTGATTTTGAATTCAGCACTTTCAGAAAAAAGAGCAAAGAACATTGGGATGTACCTGGTAGTATTAAAAATATCTGTATCTAACACTGAATCTTATGTTTGAAAATCAGAAATGCAGTTCATAAAACAACAATTACTCTCTCTATATTGACATCAACCTAAAAACCAAAATAGTAATCAAAACTAATGTATAATTTGACATAAGTTTTTGTGAGAGCTACGTACCTTGAAAGCAAAAGCTTTATTGATGACGTCTGAAGAATCACAGTTGTTTATTCTGTAACTTGGTAATAATATAGATGCTAGAGTCTGTTGTTCACTTTCATCTATAACATAAAAAGAAACACTAGTATGAATTTTTTTTGGAAAGAACTTAAAGGGACAGTCTGATCTTTTTTTGCTCACATTTTTGAAAACTACATACCAAAATCTAGAGAAATGTATCTAAAAGTTTTAACTAAAACAATCCTGCCATTAATTTAATCTAATACAAAAAAATTTGCAATTGTTTGCATCAAAACTTGAGAATAATAAAGAAACAATCAAAAGAAGATATTTTCGTAGTCTTACCTTTATAAAAGAATAAAGCATATTCTGCTAAAACACACCATCTTTTTCTCCAGGTTTTCTTACCAATTCCAGAACTTTCCTGAAAGTACAAAAAGCAGCACTTTTTAAAGTAAAGATCCATTACAAAATCAATGGCAAGATAATTTTGAAAGGTTTGTCAAAGTTTGCAGTCAAGGGCCATAACTCAAAAATCATTCATTGAAACAACATCGATATTAACCTGTAAGTCTATTGAAGAGTCTAAAGCATATGATGAAGGATCAAACATTTGCAAAGATTGGCAATTTTGCATATCGTCATGAGTAGACCTACATAAGAGCTATAACTTACATATCTGTGAAGCCAGCCTCGTTTAATTACTATAGCATTTGGATTACGTTTGGCAGCAGGTACTGGCACTTTAATATTTCTGAAATTAAAATGAGAATAACCTCATGTACAAACTTTACAGGCAAAAAGAAATGTTCTATTATCTTGAAAACTATAAATGAAATTAAATGTTTACATGCTACTCTTTGGACTGATGAAAAGATAAATGCCTGAGAGTGGTCAATAAGGAAATTTAGCTGTTTTAATAACAATCAAAATCTTTAATGCTAATTCAAGTTACCTTTGTTTCACATTGCGTTTTATATGTTTTTCTTCTGGACTTGTTGGTGCTGGACTGAAAATAAATGAAATATCATAGAATATGTTTAACTGACTGAAATCTTTTACATTTAGATTCAAATTCTGCTAATCACTAAAACATCGGTCAAGGAATCTTTAACATGCACAGCGTGTAGCACATGGCCACAAATTATCGTTGCTTTTTCTATGTCAGTGCCTCCTATCAGCATCACTGACAGCAGGAAACCAGGTTGAAAAATCTCTAAGTATTATCTCGAACTATGCTGGGATTGAACCCTGGATCTTTAGGTTAGAGGGATAACCTAAGAGATATGAAGAGCACATAATATGTGAGTGTCTATTCAAATACCAATACAAACTTACTATCCATAGTCTCTGAAAGTTAATTTCTTATTGGACACATTGCCTGTCACTGGATGTTCAAATGTTGTTACATTATCATTATGACTGGAAGATAAAGTACAAGATACATGTTAAAATTATATCAGATCTGTGATAAAGTTTGCGAAAGTTTTTCCAAATATTTTTCATAAAATAGATTTTCACGTGTTTGGGTAGATGCAAAGTAATGAACCAATGGGGAAAAATATTTTGAAATTTGTCTTCAAAGACACCAATTGATATAAAAGAGTTTTACTTTGAAATTTGAATGGAACAAAACTGGCCTCTTTTCTACAAAAAATAATAACCAAACTATTTCTCAATATTAATCGAACATGACTGACAAATTTAAAACTTTTGTTGAAGCAGATTATCTTCTAAAAGGACACATTTCTGGTCACTGGATGTTCAAGGTAGTTATGATCATTATGACTGGATGATAAAGAGTAAAATATGTTAATCAGGTAAATATGATCTAAAGCCATTCAAATCAGTCGTAAATAAAATCAATCAGGCTTGCCCTTCAAGGTGACTAACATTTTTCACATTATTGTCAATATGATAAAAGTTGACCTCTCACCCCTTAAAGATCTTATCAATTTGTCAATGTATTTTTTTCATTTCTTTCAGCTATACCAACTCAATTTAACACAAATAAAAGATCAAATCAATTAGGATTTTTTAATAAATTTGTACTATTATGAACTTCATTTTTTTGGGTTTAATATTTTCAATTGGTATATCTTTTCATAATAAGATCATGTAACACTTAAAAGAAATTATCAAACACTTACTTGATAAAATATAAATCTCCATCTTGGGTTAATCCATGTTCCCATCCCATTGGTAATCCTAAAATATACAAATGCTAATCTTAATATTAAGATATGAAATGGAGTTTTACATCCTACATTTCTGCATCTGATAAGGCTAATGGAGGATTTTACTCATTTTTCTGAAGTCAAAATATTTTCTTAAAATTTATTGTTAGAACATCCTCGGGCCTTTAGTTTTTTTAATATTCTTAACAACAATTTCAATATAACTTAAAAGACCAGACTTTGTGACATGAAAAGTTGACTAAGTAAGTAAAAAATCAGACACAATAACTCAAAAATTTGGCTTATTCAAACTTTGGATAATCATTAAAAGGATTGTAAAGAGGTTTTCTAAACTTTTTATGATTACCAAGGACACTGATATCATCAATTTGCATTCCAACGTCTATGACTCTTGCAATTCCACTAAAAGTAAGCATTTTATGACGTAACTTAACTTGGCCTATGGCAAAAACTGCTATGGATATGTAATGAACTTTCTGATAGTGATGTCATAAAATGCATAGGTTAATTAGAATTGCAAGAACCACAAACCATGTTTATAAATTTTAATAGTGCAAAAATGACAAAACTTTTTCATTCTGTAACAGTCTCATACTCTTCTTTCAGATTATATTAATGTTTTTGATTTTCATAAAATATATATGCTTAAAAAGACAGTAATCGCAAAGGAAATAAAGAAGCGAGATATGTTTCACATAGTATCATTGTTTTCCATTCCTTGGTATTTATAATCCTCACAGACTCTAGATGTCCATTTCTAACTAATCTATATAACTATCAATACTCTATATCAATTATTATTTTATCTTTTTACAGAAAAGGAAATTGTTGTTTCTAGTAGAATAATAAACTAGCCATTCCATTGATCTCTTTTATAGCTTGAGAATTAAAGATACAGTATGACAAAGTGAAATGTGAAAATAAGTGTTTTTGTAAGTACTGATATGATGTTCCTGTATAGGGCTGCAATATATCACCGATGAATCATTGAACCACGATTCTTAGCTTCTTATCAATGTATTGCATTGCGTTGGATACAAAAAATTGCGATGTATCAACACGTTTTTTTTTATTAATTTTCTTAATAACAAATGATACAGAATCCTAGTGTATATAAGAAATTGTGTCACGATTTGATATTTTTTGAATAATTTTCACAACATAATTTGTAAAAAAATCATTTTTGATTCCATAAAATAAACATGTGTTACAGGTTACATAATGTGTATTTTATGTGCAGCAAACAGCATTTAGGACAATAAAACATAGACCTACATTAATTGTACCTGACACAAAAACTGACATTTAAGACGACAAAATTGACATAAGTAACAACTGACATCAGAGGTATTTATTAGGACTGTAATATTGACATTAGTAATATCTGACAAAATACTGACAAAGTTGACATCAATAGGATCTGGCAAAACAATAAGTAAAGCTGCAAAACTTTCATAAAGTGAGTTTAACTAAGTTTATCAAATTAATAACAAGAGTCAATATCAAAGTATATGATCTAAAGAATAAATAACACTACAAAATATAGAATAATATCTTTATTGTTTACTGATCAATTTAATAACAAAACACCTCTATACATTCCCTTTATAGTTTATATGGGAAGGTTCATAACAGAGAAATCTATATTCCTAATGTAAGGTCATTATAAAGTGAGCTTATTGATCAAAAGTCAATAAAATGGTTTTGCAAACTAGCAAGTCTCGCATAAATACTGATAAATCCATTACATGTGAGATGAAAAGAAATAGAACTTTGCATATTATTCTGCTTCTGCCAATAGTGTGAGAAGGAAGGCATGCAACACCATAAATATTTCAACAAGGGAACTTATTCCAAGACAGTGCCATTATCCTACTTTTCAATATCCAACTGTTGAGCAATAATATGCACAGCTAGATAGAGTTTCAGTTTTGGTTCTATTTGAACAGCTTGATGCTATTTCCATGCCAGCCTCTCAAACCTGTATGACAGACAGGGGTAAATTGTGTTATCATTTTTGTTCTTCTAAAGGATGTCAACATAAGGCACAAGTGTTTAATTTTAAAAGCACAGAGAAAATAACTGGAAAACACCCATCAATGTCATCAGAAAAATATATAAAGAGGAATTCAGGAAGGTTGACATTTGTAATTTCCTTCTCTAATTTAAGGTACTCCACTATTGAAGAGTTCGCATACAATACAATTGTTTACTTTTGATTTTGGTACATGACTTACTGAAACGATTGGTTTAAATGGTTTTCTACTGTTAAATCTACCTTCATTGTTTCATGTTAAAAACATTGGTGTTTACGTTCAGGTCAAATTGAAAGGCCCACTTGTCCACTTTACACCTTATCAAAACAAACTTAGTAGACTAACGCCATAAATCTACTGTAGACAAAGGAAACATTGCTGAACCTTAATTGTTTTTCTTAGCCATTAAACTTATCTTAGACAGATTAGAATGGGATCAAGTACATTTGTTTTTAAGTCCAAGATTAGAGAGAGAACATAGAATGTCAAGATATGTCAAAAGGAAAAAATACTTGAGATAATAACATTTTTCAAAAACATCACGCAATTGTGACAAATTATGAATTATGAGACATCAAAGGGTCTACTGTGAAAATTCTTCAAATGCTCTGCAACATGTCACGCTAATGAATGGCAGCCATTATTTACTGAAACTATGTCCAGCTTATCATGTGATAATGAAATTCTGGTAGTCCAGACGTCAGTGGCTGGTCGACTACAAGCATTTGTAAACAAAGTCAATAGAAACAAATACGTTATGGATATTGATTCAAAATGCTAATAAAATGTAACATAGTCACAATATAGCATTAAATACATAAGTAAGAGTATGAATTATTTCAAAAGACCCTAAAGATCCAGGACCATATTCAGTAAGCAATATAACTGTCACTTGATAAATCATTATACAATGCCGGAAGTAAACATTCATTACCGAGACAGATTCAGCTTACGGAAACTGCAGATGATTACAGAATGGTGTGATGTTTTTGCATATTGCTATCATTGCAATTCAATTCACATTTTTTTTGGTTGATGTGATTCCGTATAAACTTTTTTCCCTTGTATTGAACTTCTATGTTGACTAGAGTTAGTAACTGTTAAATTATACTAAGGAAGATTGAAAGTGGAATTTCAAACCACATAACTGTCTTCATGTAAACATTAACATGTAAAATGTGAAGTATGTATGTTTCTGTTAAAAACCTGTTCTATTTGTTTAAACTTCTTCAACTATTTAACTTGATGACTTCAACTTTTTTTTCACAGATCACTAACTTGATGCGCCAATTTTTTTGACCAATTGTACCTTTTACCTTAGTCTCAGAAAGGGTAATTTTAGCTAAGCCAATCAGTAATAGTGTTCACAGTTCACCGTCGAAGTTTGAGCCTCCAAATCCATGTGTGTTCAGTATTATCCGTGTTTGAAAGTTAAAAAGACCAGTCGTCTTTTCTTGAGATATTGCCATATATAGAACATCTATAGAAATGAGAAAAGAGATTCCTTGTTTGAGATATTTTTAAAGGAATTATGCAATTTTCGTACATTTCTAGTACTTCTGAAGACTATTTACATTATATTTAAGATTCAAATCAACCCCCAAAAATAGTGCAACTGTCCCTTTTAACTAATTTCTTAAATACATAGATTGATAACAGCAATAAAATAGAATATACACCAATACCTTATACAGTAAACATTTATAATGTTGATATCATTATAACATATCAATTACTATTTTCGTATTTTGTTTAAGGATTGTAAAGAGGTTTTCTAATATTTCTATGTGTATTGGTTTCTGCAATTCCACATAAAATGGAATATATGAAGACACTATTCCGAAAATAGGCTTGTACAACATAAGCTTATGTGGAATTGCAGGAACCACAGACATCTGATTGAAAATATGATGCAACTTGATGCTATCAGTGTCCGCGATACATATAAAAATTTATGTTTGATACAGTAATAAAAGCTATGTGATAAAACTAACCAATTTGAAGTATGTATACAAGATGTTCAGAACAATTCTTCAAAAAGCTTAATATATGTATGAATAGATGTATAGAAATAATGTATTTGTGTTATGTTTATCAATTCTATTTAATGTAAATGATGCTTTAATGTGAATAAAACAATTTGTTTTGATGTTTGTGTAAAGAATAATACCTCATAGAAAAAGCATAAAATTCAAATTCAAACTTGACCAATAAAAGTATATACTCATCAGTGGACTTACACAGATGTCTATACCACAGAATGTGATTTCCATAAAACTAAATAATAACTGAAAACACTCAAATAAATTTAAGTGCTTTTTTCAACAGTTATTAGTAGTTTTATGGATTTATCGGATTAAAGAAAGATAATGTCATTCAAATTTCTCAGTCATACCTTTTCAGAAATCCTTGGAAACAAATATCTACCTTTAATAATTCAGTTATTTTGTTCAGTATTGATACAGTTAAATTCTAATTAAAATGTAAACATACATGATGTTATTAAAATGCAATGTTATTGAATATTATTTAACATTAATTTGGTATGTACAGCTATATTGATGTGTCATAATGACATTAAATTAATCTAAATATTTCAAACTTTTCCTCATTCTCTGTACTCATTCAATTCATGATGAATATAGAGTACATTTTGATACTTCTGTAAAATTTAAATTGTAGGTCTATTAAATGTTTTAACATTGCTTTACGCTTGGGTATTGAATATATCTTTTATATATATAGTGCTAGAAATGTACAAAAACACTATTCTTATGACAGAGAAAAAACTTTCAAACAGCGATAATTAGTGTCCCTTTTACACACAAATTTTTTTAAAAAAACCTCTTTACAATCCCTTACAGATTGCTTCCTTTCTACCATTTGACTTTCAGTTTGAATGAAAGTGATTTTATACATAATAAAACCTTGAATAGAGCACATAAATGTCCTTTTATGTCAACTGATAAGTGATGCATTCATAATTTTGGCTTCATATTATAGTGTAGTATAAATCTAAAGTTATGTGTCTTTTATATGACTCCAAAATGACAAAATAAATCAAATTTCACTACAGATAACATTATATTCTTTTCCTTTCAAATATGATGAAATACAATCCAAAAATTGTGTTTTAAACATGCATAAATTGTAACTATAGTTTGTTTGGCTAGACACTAAGACATAATTTTCCATATCTAATTGCTGTCTCTATTGTTTTGTTTAACAAATTTAATTCTCCATTTCATGCAAACCAAACAAGAATTTGACCAAATTTATATAGCCTTATAACCAAATTAGAAATATTAAAACAGAACTTGAATCATGTTGTTACTCAGTGAAACTATTTCTGTTTTAATATTTCTATATCGCTCTACTTATTGATGTATCGAGCACTATTTTAACAGTGATTTTTCTATATCACTCTACAATTGATGTATTGAGCACTATTTTAACAGTGATATTTCTATATCGCTCTACTTATTGATGTATTGAGCACTATTTTAACAGTGATATTTCTATATTACTCTACAATTGATGTAATGAGCACTATTTTAACAGTGATTTTTCTATATCACTCTACAATCGATGTATTGAGCACTATTTTAACAGTGAAAATACTGTAATATACAAACTATTATATTATGTAAGTCAGTGGAATGCTAGTCACTCTGCAACTGCATTTGTCAGTTTCACTTTTTGCCCCACACTATGAAAGTTTTGTTGTATTAGTTAAATGTTTAGATATTATGTGAGGAATTTGTTAAACAGATTATCATAACATGCCCTTGAGTAGTGTACCAGTTACTAAACTTTATCTCTACTTTCTAATCTGTTATGTCAAAATCATAATGGCTTAATGACATATGTAGTTAAAAAGCTTCTAAGATGAAAATTCATTATTTTCCATGTTTTTTTCTTGTCAAAAAAATTCATATCAGCAAATATCAAAAATACCCGACCAATGCAACTTTGGCCATTTATGGGGTTGATTTGATTCTGCAGAAGTGCCAGAAATGAACGAAAATTCCATGCTTCGTTCAAAAATACCTCAAAATAGGAATTTCTATATATATGTCTCTTCTATATTTTATGTCAGAGTCAACAATAGACAATTATTAATCATTTTAACTTTCAAATGCAGATTTTTCTGGATATACATGAATGTGAAGGAGTTGTGAACACTATTCCTTAAACTTATTAACAAAGCTCAAGATATTCCCATTTCCGAGACAACGGTAAGACTGGTCAAACAAATTGCAAACTTGTCCCTTTAAAGGAAATGTATATTTCTTTTGTGGATGAGTTAAAAAAAATAGTGGTATTCTGAATAGATGTGTCTACAGCAGAAGATGAGCTCTTACTCATAATGACATAAATTCAAAACCCTTCCCAAATGGTTGTTTAAATATTCTATTATTTGTTACTACTATTTCTATAGGTAGGCTATTTTCATATGTATGTATGTCAAGTTTATTCACAAAATAAGATTCTTTTTTATACCGGTATATAAAAGCTATCGTAAATTCAAATTTTGTTAATCTTATGTAATAATATGCTACTATTTGACAGTTGCTTTTCTTATTCCTATAATTAAGCTAACAATAAACCAATTAGATTCAGTTGAAGTGGAATTTTGTTCATACCAGTAAATGATTATGAAGAGATTGCTGATTTTTGATAGATATAGGCTACTGTACAACCATACATGTAACATAATCAGTAATTGATTGCATTGAAAAAAAAAGTTGTCTGAAGATCGATTTTAGTCAGTTTTAATATTTTTACTTTAGACTGATGTAGTTAGCACTATGCTTGTTAATAAACAACATCTTTTACATTCAATATCCAATTACATACTGGGGGAACTGAGTCTAATGTTGCTTTTTTAATTACTAACATAGTTCATAACACGAAAATTTTTTTAACATGCACATTGTTTAAGTATAGTTTTTCAGAACTTTAACATAATACTCAGGATTCAGATTTTTGAAAAGTATTGATGATGATTCTGTTTGCTAGTTTATGTTAATATTTATTCGTAAACTCATTAGAACATTTCTTGAAGATTTAAATATATCAAATTTTATCATTTGTATTAGAGACATACCAAAGCTACACCTACATTCTTAGTAAATTAAGAAAGTCTTATAGTCCAAGCTTCACTCTTGACAGCAGCTTATTCATAGTACTGTTGGAATTTGTTTTTTAAAATTTAATGAGGACATATGTAATATGTTATGACTTTTTAGGTCATTAGGCATTGGTAGGTCATTAGATAGGCCTAAGCCTAAAGTAAGCTGTCAAGTTCAACCAAATTTAACCAGATCAGATTTTGAAGTTATGTGTCCTCAAATAACCTATATTTCTTTGATAGTATGCATAACTGTCAAGCATTTAAAAAAATACAACAAACCAACAAGAAAAGAAACTCGGGAGACAGTTAAATGGTTGGCGGATGGGCTAATTAAGGTAATTAAGGTAAAGCTTACCTTTAACACGTTCATAGCCTGTTTGGACAGCCTGACCTGTCAAAGGGTGAAGCCATGTTGTTTCACGCTGTATTTCACTGCAAAAAGAATGACAAATATGTCAATGACTAAACTCCGTATTTCATTTCACATAAAATGAATATCAATGAAGACACCATAAATATTTGACAACATTTCAACTTACTTAATAAAAAATACTCTCCCATCTCTAGTCACAGCATAATTCCAATCAGGAGGTAGTCTATTCCCTGGCCCTATGGCCGCCATGTTTGTAAACGAAATTCTTACCTGGCTCTTCCGATTGCCCCCCTTGTATCAGGTAAGAAGATAATAAACAACTATTGATGACGTAGACAGGTAAAAATTTTGTGGGCGTGGAAAACGGTTGTGTCGTCTGCAACCGAATGTCGAAGTAATCAGTTTTCTTTGAGTCGGGTTAAATTTTTAAAATGCCTAGAAATGTACGTGCGTGTCATGTCATAAACTTAAGGGTGTGGTAAGGACGCTACGAAGTCGCCGTTTCAGATGTACCTGTTTTGCAACGTCTTGCCACGCATAATACATCGCTTTAGTAGCCTACGTTAATAAAGATATATAAGATGTCCCTACGCTTGTCTAACGACCTTCGCAATTCCAATTGTTCTGAACGAGTTCTAGCACCAGAAGTGGACGTACGTAACGTGTTCCTATGAATATTTGGTGAGGGGCGAGTACGGCCGGCCACAGAACATTACCGGCGTCAGCCTCCCGAGACTGAAAGTACAAGTAGGGGAAAGACGGACACCGTTAAGGTTGAGATTCAAATGCGATAGGCCTACACCTTTCGTGAAACGTCTCATGGAGCGTCGGAAATGGTCTCCACCCAAATATCTTTTTTTCCAAAACATAATTATGAGAAGCTTCTGAATAATATTTTGGGGCAAAAACATATAATAATCATATTTTAAATCATATTTTTTGCCAGAATAATACAAACGATTCCCCCCTCCTGTAGCCCGACTAGCGCCGCCATTGCAAAAAAATCGTCGAAGAAAGGGGCAGATAAACTGACTATGAATCGCTATTCAAAACTTGTAATTCAAATAGTAACCCTAGGAGCCGCGGTGGCTCAGTGAGTTAGACGCTTGCTCGCTAACCTGAAGGTCCAGGGTTCAATCCCATCATAGGTCGAGATAATACCTTCGGATTTGTCGAGATAATACCTTCGGATTTTTCAACCCGGTTTCCCCCTGTCAGTGATGCAGGTACGAGGGGCTGACATGGAAAAAGCTTCTAGTCGTTCGGATGGGACAATAAACCGAGGCCCCGTGTGCTACAGGCTGTGCACGTTAAAGATCCCTCGACAGTTGGAAATCGAAAAAGAGCAGGCTAATGCCGCTGTCCTGGCAAAATTTCCCTCATCGCACCCTGCATGGCGTTGCCCGTCTTCATTAGCCCACATGGTGCAGAAAAGTAGGACGTAAAACTCCAATCATTTCATTTCATTTCAATAGTAGCCCTAGGGCCTAACGTTTTATGTACGTTTTAATTCAAGGGAATGAACTCACTCCAAGTTTATTTGACCACTGTGGGTGCTTATAATTTTTAGTTTAATTCTAAATTGGCTTTGTGTAAGGTGGATATTCACAATTTGATGAGAGTGTAGGATAGCTGCACCTAGTAGCCTACTAAAGACTTCGAAGTGCAGTAATTCAAAGCGTTGCACTGAGGTACAATATATACGTGCCTCTAAATATAAGAGAATTACCCATAGTCCAAAAACCCTTCACCTTCTCTACTACAGTCGTCTCATAATCATTCTTTCTCAGTTCTACAATACCCTACTGAGTCTTTTCTGTCCTTCCTTTCTGCCCGTCTCCCCTTCTCTTTAACTACATCCCATGTTCTCTCTATCTAGCATTGATCTGTCTCTTGTAGCCCGAAGTAATTGTTCTGTTCCCACTTCCCTTTTAACTTGCTATTAAGGATTCTCTATACCCCTTCCCCCCACGTAATCTCTACTTCACAATCTTTCCTTCATATTCTACCTTCCACTAAATTTCCTTCTTCTTTTCTTTCCTCCACATCTACCTTATTATGATTAAGCCAAATTAAGAAGCTATCGAATTCATGAGAATTTTTACATTTAATTCATGTGTCCGAATCCTATATAGTCCCATTCGAGTTATTTCCCATAAATGACAATGAAGGAAGTTAGAATTCGGGAAATAGTCTGTGGGTCTACTCATTTACCTGATTGGTTGTTATGTGTATACGTTTAAGGTCACGTGATGATATTTACCAGGAAATCTTTAGGATCTACCTTGGTAATTCCAATACTCTCTGGCGTCACTTTCAGAAACATGGAATTTTTGGAGGAAGTAATCCCCCACCCCCCTTTATAAGATAACGAATTTTGCTAGTATTTTGGTAATACTAATGAGATATGCGTCATATTACAATTGGACTTGTTCAAAGTAGTGCTTTCCTTTTTTTTTCTCTCTGGGAATTCGATACCTTTTCACGCAAAGCTTTATTATAAATTATTTAAGCATACAGATTTGTTATCTTTTTCTCTTCCCCTTAACCACCTCTTACACTTGGTCACCCAAATAGTTATAGAAAAATTATTAGGGTTTTTTTGATAAATTTCATCAAGTCTTTTTTAGATAGTGACATAATATAGGTCTACTTAAAGATATACTTAAATAAATTTTGCTATCATTTTCATTCTAATTTGTCAGTGTAAACTCATAGGAAATTTTTCTTTTTGTAGTTTTTTTGGGTCTTATCTTATCCACACAGGACTATATCCTATGACGGAAACAGAACAAAAATCAATGTAATGCAACAGGGTGGCATTGCCCATCCCTTTAATGCAGACGGATCCGGAAAGTTTAACAAATTGAAATAGGATAGAAATTTTTGTTTCATTAATATTCGACACGTATCTTGGCTTAGTAGCGGATTATATCAATGTTGGAGAGAGGTAAGTACAAAATTTAATCAATTTAAGATTTTCTCTCTTTTCCGTCAGTAAATCGAATTTTACCGATTTTTTATTTACGTGAGGTGGAACATCAGAGTGACTTGAAAATACTTATTAGGATCCCGAGCACAGTCTTTTTTGGTTGATAGAAGGCAATATTTAGAAATAGGGTATATTTAGGACAAATTCGCCTATTTCTCAGAGGGAAGTGTGTTTATATTGAATATCTTTTTTTTTAACAATGCATACTCATTTTATCAGTACTTTAATGTTTTGAGACCGATATTCGACATCACTTGAAATTCAGTGCCAAGAGTTAGGAACAAGATAAAAATATAATAATATTGATAATAATATTATGTTTAACCCTTATACCGACCGTTATATTATGTGTATAGGTAGGATGTAATAATAATTAACCTATTTAACTTTTTGTACTTTTGTAAAAATCGGAAATATCTATAAATTACTTGGGAATTTGGAATTGAGACTCTCTAAACACTAACTTGTTTGCCTTTTTTCTCCCGGTAACTTTATTAGTACCAGTGTCGCCTACCTTAAAGCTGACATTACAGTCTCCTATACTATTTTAAATATGTTACCTCACTTCGACATGCAACAATAGTTGAGAAATTATTGAAAGTTCAGGGGTAGTAATATTTGAGTTTATTCTTCAATGGAAGACTTTAGTTGTAAAATATAGTAATATGTTACGAGTCAGCCCAAACACTAACTGACTCTGACCAACCTCTGAAAACAAAATGATAGAGACGTTTCTGATAATTTTACCTGTTCTTTTAGGAATAGATTTTTGGTCTTTTCGACCCGTGAATAAGGAGCTTCTTCCGCATATATCCCACCAACTAGTTTAAGATACTTGTTATCTGGACATTTCAGGAAGAGACAAGGAACTGAGATGGACTCTTCTTCATCCGGTTCATTGGTCGAAAAATGAAGTGCAGGGATGGCTGCAGTATGTTCTTGAAAAGAATAGGGTAACTGGAGAAGCTAAACATAACATTTTGGAAGCTTTCGACGACGTCAATGGTAATGAATTGATTAACATGGATTTAGGTCAGTTTAAAGATTTGAGCAATGTTCATGGACAATTACTACACGAAACTTTCCGAGCTCTTCTTCCATCTCGTAAGTTATGTTTTGGGTTTGATGTTTGTTCTTTTCCCCTGTCCTAAGCGAGAAAATTTCTAAGCTATTATAAACTTCGTCTAATACCTTGACTACCTTATATCACAGAATACACCAGTCTGTAAAAAAGCCATAATATTCGATGTCTTTAGGTTGAGGGGTCTGATTTGTATTCACTGACGTATAATCCAGTCAAATCTCTGCATTCTGTGCAGTCACAAAATTGGCTAATACAGTCAAGGTATAAGACGAAGTTTGTAATAGCTTGATATTGTAAAGATGATATTGAGGTTGCTTTAGTAATCTACAAGTAAAATTCGGTTTCTCTTATCTTGTAACCGAATGATAATTCTTCGTATAGTTTGGTTATACAATTTGGTATGGTAGTGGTACGTGTCTGAAATCAAGCTATATCAGCTGTCCCCTTTTAAAATAGCATTGTTTATTTACTTTAACAATGCTTTTGTTTTACAGAAGGAGGTCACCCACCATCCAATAGCTGATAAATGTTTAGGCCTTATCTAGTTAATAAAATAAAAACTATTAATATCTGATATCTTTTGTTGTATCGATTTCATCTTCTGTTACTTTATACAATTTCAAGAATATATCTCAGAAACACATAACATTAGAAGATTTCTATTTTACAATCCCTTTAACCCCCTTTTATCACATAATACGTTTTGTAATATGTTTCGAATATGGATAACAGATTTGTGGGGTTATCATTGTTGTGTTTTCTAGTCTGTTTTCTAGTTTTTAGATTGAGACGAAGACTAGTAACGAAACAAAAAACCATCCAAAACAACGTTTATTCTAATCAGTTCAATGCAATGTCCGATTAATAAATGGCGCGGTACCGTCTGTGGGCTTGCATCTGAACACCTTTTCTGCGCCGAATATGTCAAAGTCGAAAAGGACCGTAGAAATAGGACCTACGTAGTCGGCATAAAGTATGCAATAAATGGCATCGAGATCAAAAGATGTAAAATTATCGAATCTGGTGAACGTCAACACGTTTGACACCGACAAACATCTTTCATCTTTTTTACAAGCATCGATGCAGTTCGAGAAACTTGTAGTGTTGAATATCAACAGAGTTGGTGCTCTGAACAGGAGACAACCAAACAAATCGTTCCCAAATGGTCCATTGGTCGGCAGGAATACAGAGCAGTTACCAGTACAAATGGATGCATTACACTCATCTCGTGTTAATGCCAACTCATTGATGAAAACAGAATCGAGGAATATAACTGAACCACGAGCAGAAAAGTCGAAATCTACGGAACACTCTGAAAAAGGAGGATAATGGACATTATATTGATAGCAGAAGCACCTTCTGTTGCTGTTTTTGTTTCTACTGCTTCTTTTCCTGTTGCTACAACTGCTTATCTTATTGCGGCTGTTTTATTGCTTTAGCTATAGCTATTGTTGCTCCTATTGCTTTTGCAATTCTTCCCTCAAATGCTTTTAAATTGTTCAAAACGGTATTGTTTTATTTTTACTGCTACTAAATGTAGCTTTTTAATACACGATCTTCTGTTGCTATTGTTTTTACGCCTGCTTTTGGTATTAATTCATATCAATGAATGTTTTATTAGCACTTAGTCTGCTTTTTCTATCGCTACTGCTATGATTGCTACTACTTTTGCTGCTGTTGCTACAAGTGTACTCCTTTCTCTGTTGTAGATTCTGTGTACTTTGCTTTTGTTTATACTCTAGATGTATTATATTTTGCTCTGTTCGGTACTGAAGAATTGCTATTCATTCTTTTTTCTTTTACTCAATGTCATTGTTACTTTTATTGCTTTTGCTATTGTTTTCATTTTTTTTTTTTGCTATTGTTTTTATTTTTCTTTTGCTATTGTTGTTACTCTTCCTTTTAGTATTGTTGCTATTGTATATAATACTTTTGATAATGTAGCTGCTTTTGCTCGCAAAATCATTTAACTTACCCAGTTCACATAATCTGCCTTTAAAAGGGTATGGACATTCACAAGAAAATGAATTAATGCCATCAATACATACTCCTTTATTCAGACACGGATTACTCTTACAGTCGTCAATATCTGTTAAATGAATGTATGAATACATAAATAAGTTCTGTGGATATCTGAAATTAAGACTAGAACATCCCTTTAAAGCATATTGCCTAATTGTCTTAAAGGGATTGTGTTTATGTGTATTGGGTGCACTGATACAATCGATTTACACCATTGCTCTTTGCTTTGTTATAAAATGTCCGTTAGTCATGCAATTCCACTAAAGTCTTTTTTTGAAAGACAAAACGTAACTTACTGATTTCACAGTTATGTCCAGTGAAACCTACTGGACATTTACACGTGATTCCTTCTCTACCTACATTGTTAACACATCTACTGTTCCCAACACAAGTATTAGCACCAGTAGCACACTCGTCAATTTCTGACAAAATAAAACAGACTAGTTGAAAATCAGGTTGCTGACAGATTCTGCCAGACGCAAAATGACGACCTTAGCCATATTCATATTATAGTTAGCGATAAGCAAATGCAATTGTCCCACAAATTACTGCCTAAATACGCCACTGCTGCCAGTGTTTCACTGCTACATGTGGCAAACATCAAACTCTACTTGGCAACTTTTTAACTCACTGAAAGGCCCTATCCTATGTATGATACAGAATCTTTTAGATATGGACACTGTGAGACAAATCATCAAGCACTTCCACAGATCAGACTTTCGTTCGAAGAAGATACTTACCACAATCACAAGTACGACCAGTAAAGCCATGTGAACACAGGCACTCAAATCCCCAAAATCTATTCTTACACACTCCACCATTTTTACATGGCCTCTTTTTACAAAACCATGATCTTCCTGTGTATAAATTTTTAATTTTTATACAACACATTTTAATGTTGAAGTGTACTGTAGCCGCCCTTGTACTTCTACAATTGGCTACAGTTTTGACCAGAATGGGTATACTGACTTATAAACTGACAAGGCATTATTTGTTGAGGTTTTTGTTTGAAAAAACAATAAATAATAATGAAATAAGGGGCACAACTCGTGCCTTTAGAAGTTCATTAACCAGTGAGTTAGACTTACTATTTGTAAGACTGGGAAAATTAGGCTCATCATCCTGAAATCTCTAATTAGTGCGCTACGAATTGGTGACAGTAACTAATCTCTCGTTAATATCGATTAGCCCTCCGAAGCACTAGATATCTCGATCACTTATCAGAATGCCCAGTAACTATCTTGCTATATGTATAAATTTGCATCCAGATTCTAATGTCCGACCAAACAATATTGGAACTAGTGAAATATATGCGGCGGTATCGTGTAAGTCAAAACCGAACAAACCATTGGATGGTTTAAGTGATGATGTAGAAAACGGTCAAGTCTCTGTTAGTGTCCACAAAGAAAGAACGTAATCTCTCTTGTTTATAATTCCAAAAATATATTCGCGTTAAAAGGGGTGCAATTTGTATATACAAACGTGGTCAATTCAGCCGACGACCATTGAGCTAGACTATATATTTTATAAGGGATTCTGGTGTAATTATTTACAGAAATGATTTCCGGGGTATTATATATAAAAGGCCTTATATAGTTTTAAATGTAATATCTAATAAGTGTCTCATTTTGACATTTATTTGAACACTATTTCAGTGAAGTGAATGATCTTTCAATTAGAAGAAAGAAAAGATATTTTCTTTATTATTTATATGTGTATCGAGGACACTAATAGCATCAATTTGCACCATTCCAATTTTCGGTCAGATGTCTGTGGTTCCTGTTATTTCACTAAAACTAAGTGTTTGATGAAATCAATATCGCATAGGGCGTTCTGTGATAGAAACAGATTTTGCGATAGTGACGTCATAAAAAAACTTAGTTTTAGTGGAATTGCAGGAACCACAGATATTTGATTGAAAATTAGAATAATGATAGTGATACTATCGATATCCAAGATATATATAAAGTTTTTAGAAAACGTCTTTATTATACAATCCCTTAATGTTTGATACTGAGATACGAAATGTATTATGAAAATGCAAAATTCAAAATTACAAAGAAAGACTTACTATACTTTGTTAAACTGAGACTATTAAATGTAGCTTGACATAACAGCACCGTAACGAACAGGACAGACATCCATAATAGCGACATCATTGTTGAAGTTTAACTCTAAGAATGTGTTTTAGAATGCAGATTTTAATACATATTATAAAAGTATTAAATAATAGCTCTTTTTAATCTACGAATTTGACTTGTAAGTGGCAGAATGAAGCAGGTGTCTTTGTAGCTTGAACGCCGGCATCCAGATTATTCAATTTAAAAGAGTTAAAGTGGCAGAATGCACCACCTAACGGTATATATATGAGGAAATATTTATATCATAGTGATTCTGAAGAATTGCATAAAACCAGACTGTTGAAAATCAGATTGTTTTCAAAACCTTATAACGAAATACAGTCGATAAAACAAGGATTACAAAGCTAAAAAGCCTGAAGAAATGATTTCGTCATAATCATGATTAATTTGTTGGGTTTCTTCACCTTGAGGAAAGCCTACTTATATTTATCTGATCCGGTACATTGTAAAACCAACCTGGTTTCGTGTGATTTCTGCATTAGTCTATGCTCAAAGAGATTTTGAGATTATGAACTCAAAGCTACCGGAATGGCGGAATGGTTTTATGTAGATAGTTTGTCTATATTTGTCTACACTTCACGTTTGTCTGAACATTTTAATAATGCAAAAAGGAGTGGAGGGCTCGCTTCACATTTTCGCTACAAAATTTATTTCCAAACCCTAAATTTTGAAAATGAAAAGCAAAACGTCATATCCTCAGTTGGGGAATGAAATGTGAGGAGGGAAAGGTCTGGGGTCGTTTTGTCAGAACCCCTATATTCCCCTCTGGCCTGCATTTAACATGATCATGGTTAAAATTTGCATAAAACAAGGAAGATAAAAAGAAATGCCCTGGACCAATGAAAGGAGCTTTTCTCCAATCTCACATCTGTTTCAACAACAATCTGACCTGTCAATGATTCATAGCTATTATTGAATGTTAGAAATTGATTTATTAGCTGTACTATTCAAAGCATACAATACTTCAAATAAATGCATTATGTAACAATCATATACAAACGTACATAAGAAAGCTGTAAAGCTGTGTGTAACTGTATTCCCCGAAAAGATTCTTAGACAAACTGTTTAATTATTTGTATGACCAGGTGACCAGGTGATAAAATTATACTCCTTGGCACCACATTCCAGAATGAAAGTCGAACAGATACTCGTGTGGGTCTACTACCGGGGCGAAAGCTACTTTGTCCTTTATGGATCCATCCACAATTCTCAGCAATTTCTTTAAAGCTGTTGCAGGGAGACACCAGAACATTCACGGTATTACAAATCACGATACACAGACGCTATTGTGGCTCTACTTTCGTCTTGAGCAGAAGCTACTTTTTGAACCGCTAAGAAGGAGCTTCTTCTGCATATATTCCACCAACTAGTTTAAGATACTTGTTATCTGCACATTTCAGGAAGAGAGAATGAACTAAGATGGACTCTTCTTCATCCGGTTCATTGGTCGAAAAATGAAGTGCAGGGATGGCTGCAGTATGTTCTTGAAAAGAATAGGGTAACTGGAGAAGCTCAACATAACATTTTGGAAGATTTAATATTCTCTAAAGCCTTCGATACAGTCCGAGATACAAGAAAAATGGCTATTGTAGTCAAGGTATTAGTTCGTCATAGCTTAAGATTGTGATGATGATATTGAGGTTGTTAAGTAACCCACAAGTCAAATTCATTTTCCCTTCTCTTGTAACAGATTGGCCTTATCGAATTAATATTTTTTTTAATAATTGTTATAATTATTTTGTTCTCTCTGATATGATATTGGGGACAAATATCTAAATTGAACTCCAAAAATTGAGTTATATCTCTTACCGATAAGTTATTTTTCCTGTGGACATAACGTGTCCCTGGGTAGAAATGTTCTCATTTGACGTTTTCCATCTACTTTTTCTCTATCGTTTAGTGGAACTATTTTCATGTACAGTAAAGTTTCAATGTTTTGAAGTACACTTAAAATGCATTTTACAGTAGAAACTGTATGAGACCACTGAAGGGAGTAATGGAAAATGGTCTGTTTATGGGGGTGGTCTCTTAGAAGAGCATCGTGTCAGAATTAACACCACAACTATTTTGTTTTGACAATCACCTTTTAGATTTAGATTGATGTAATTAATTAATAATTTTATTAATCTTTTGGGGATTAGCAAATTGCAAATAAACTATAATGCCTTTTAATCTCGCCTGCATGTGAAACCATATGATGCTTTTACAAGGGAGATAATGATAACTGTTATGGTCGCCTAATTGACTGATTTTTCTTTCATGGGAGTGTCAATACATGGTCGCTGGTCGCGTAATGAAGGTGGTTGTTTAGTAGAGGTAGTCTCACGAGCAGGATTCTTAAAGGAACCATTTTTATTAATCTATAATACGTTTTCATTTATTTTTTGTTAAGCTATGCACAAGAGGGGTCAGGGAAAAAATAGCTTTATGAAGAGATTTGTGGAGTTAACAGTATTGTGTTGCTAGTCTGGTGGAATCTAGATATAAACGAAACAGGAAGCGAAACATTTTGACCTGCATGTAAGCTGACACCCCCCCCCCCCCCCCCCCCCAAAAAAAAAAAAAAAAAGAAAAAAAAAAGAACAAAACAAACCAATCAAATCAAGGTTTATTTTAATCAGTTTAATGCAATGTCCGATTAATAAATGGCGCGGTACCGTCTGTGGGCTTGCATCTGAACACCTTTTCTGCGCCGAATATGTCAAAGTCGAATAGGACTGTTGAAATAGGACCTACGTAGTCGGCATAAAGTATGCAATAAATGGCATCGAGATCAAAAGATGTAAAATTATCGAATCTGGTGAACGTCAAGACGTTTGACACCGACAAACATCTTTCGTCATTTTTACAAGCATCGATGCAGTTCGAGAATTTGGTAGTGTTGAATGCCGACAGAGTTGGTGCTCTGAACAGGAGACAACCAAACAAATCGTTTCCAAATGGTTCATTGGTCGGCAGGAATACAGAGCAGTTACCAGTACAAATGGATGCATTACACTCATCTCGTGTAATTTCCAACTCAGCGATGAAAACAGAATCGAGGAATATAACTGAACCACGAGGAGACAAGTCGAAATCTACGGAACACTCTGAAAAGGGAGGATAATGGGCAATATATTGATAGCAGAAGCATCCTCTCTTGCTATTTTTGATTCTACTGCTTCTTTTCCTGTTGCTATAACTGCTTATGTTATTGTGGCTGTTTTATTGCTTTAGCTGTAGCTATTGTTGCTAATTGTAGCACTTTTAATACACGACGTTCTGTTGCTATTGTTTCTACTGCTGTTTTTCATATTAAATCCAATACTTCTAATTGTTTTATTAGTACTATGTCTGCTACTGCCATGACTTTTGAATTTTGAATTTTGATATGATTGCTACTACCTTTGCTATTGTTGCTACATGAACATCTTTCTACTTTTACTCAATGTTATTGTTACTTTTATTGCTTTTGCTATTGTTGTTATTCTTCCTTTTACTATTGTTGCTATTACATAATATAATACTTTTAATTACGTGGCTGCCTTTGCTCGTTATGTAACATTATTATTCAGATAACTTACCCAGTTCACATAATCTGCCTTTAAAAGGGTATGGGCATTCACAAGAAAATGAATTAATGCCATCAATACATACACCTTTATTCAGACACGGATTACTCTTACAGTCGTCCATATCTGTTAAATGAATATATGAATACATAAATAAGTTCTGCGGATTATCCCTTTAAAACATTTTGCCAAATTGCCTCAAAGAGATTGTGTTTATGTGTATCGGGTGCATTGATACACTCGATTTACTTACATCGTTTTATTTTGCTTTGCTATAAATTGTCCGTTGGTCTAGCAATTCCACTAAAACTATGTATGATGTAACTATCGCAAACTTACTTTCAGTAGAATCGCAAAAACTAAGACGTCTGACGGAAAATTTCGATCGTGACATCATCTGTATGGCCAATTTGAATGGTGTAATTAGAAACCATATGACATATTTATAAAAAAAAAAAAACCCTTTAACGTAACTTACTGATTTCACAATTATGTCCAGTGAAACCTACTGGACATTTACACGTGATTCCTTCTCTACCTACATTGTTAACACATCTACTGTTCCCAACACAAGCATTAGCACCAGTAGCACACTCGTCAATTTCTGACAAAATAAAACAGACCAGACAATTACCCACTGGGAATCATGATACACTTTCATAGAGAATTGCAATAACAAGGGTTGAGGTGAGATGAGGTCGACAGAATGGTCACAAAATCTGACCGCTCAGGTCAATGACAAGATCCGTGAACATGAGCAACTGAAGAAGGAAACTGCAGATCTGTAGTAGTCGGTGCGGTGCGCCCAGGTTTACTAAATCTAGCGATTGGCTTGGTATAGAAAATCGTTCAAAATCAAGTGGCTCAAAGAGTCTGCCAGACGCAACTTACGGTTAGGTCATATTATAGTTAGCGATGACCGAATTCAGACCCAGTACAAAGACAATCCTAATCTGACCATAGGAAAGAAATGCCATTGTCAGCTTTGCCATAGACTCCTAATGTTTCTTAATGTTCCAACTTTGCTGATACTGCCAAAGTTTCACTGCTACACGTGACTGAACTTAGATTCTTCTTTGCAACTTTTTCACTCAAGTTAAATGTGTAGCCAACACAACTTCTTTACTACCTTTTTAAGGACTTTGTGAAAAGCCATTTTAGCAGACAAAATCATCAGGTCAGATTTTTACTTACCACACTCACAAGTACGACCAGTAAAGCCATGTGAACACAGGCACTCAAATCCCCAAAATCTATTCTTACACACTCCACCATTTTTACATGGTCTCTTTGTACAAAACCATGACCTTCCTATAAGTAAAATTGTAATTTTTATACATCAGATTTTAATGTACTGTGTACTGTCTTCGCTCCTGGTCTTCTACAATTGGCTATAGTTTTTGACGAGAATATGTATGTATTATGTTTATCGACAAGCCCAGTCTAAATAATCGCAACTAAATGCACATAGGCACCACCAAGTCATGTAAGTGCGTTATGTCATGACACATTCATGTATGTACAATCAGTACTCCACGACCTCAAATAATAGTCTGATATTACTTAATATTGTGTCTTATTTTGAAACCTATTTGAACATTATTCTAGTGAATATCATAAAAAGATTTTCTTAATTTTTTTATGCATATCGGGGATAATGATAGCATCAATTTGCACCAGGGCCTAGCACACAGGGCCTTCTGTGATAGATGCAAATTTTGCGATAGTGACGTGATCAAACACTTAGTTTTAGTTGAATTGCAGGGTCCACAGATCTCTGATTGAAAATTGAAATGGTGCAAATTCATACAAAATTTAGAAAAACTTTTCATAATATTCACTAAATCCCTTTAATGTTTGATACTTAGATATGAAAAGTATTATGAAAATACAGAACTTCAAGAATACAAAGAAACACATACTTGTTAAACCGGGACTATTAAATGTAGCTTGACATAACAGCACCGTAACGAACAGGACAGACATCCATAATAACGACATCATTGTTGAAGTTAGACTCTAAAGTGTCTTTCCAAATGCAGATTGCAGAATATATAATTTTTTTTTATAAAAAATATCACTACGATGTTGAATTGTAAGTGGCAGAATGAAGCAGGTGTCACTGCAGATTGAACGCCGTCATCCAGATTTTTAAATTTAAATTGTTAAAGAGGTATCAACAAGGTATATTTTCATTGCAAATCAAGTGTTTAATCAAGTTTGAAATTTAACCACCTTTTCGAACAGAACAGATAAATCTTATTATATTTCTATGTCATGTGTTGATGATTAAGCAAAAGTTGATCTGAATTTGTCTTCCCATATCGTCCCTTTCCGTTTTGTCCCTGTAATAATACCCAGACCGCCCCTTTCTACTTCGATAGTTCCTCTTGTCAGAGTTCCTTAATTCTCCCTTGACCTTCATTAAGACTTGATCAAGATTAGAATTTGCATAAAACAAAGAAGATAAAAAGAAATGAAAGGCGCTTTTCTTCAATCTCACATCTGTTTCAACAATCTCACCTGTCAATGATTCATAGCTATTATTGAATGTTACAAATTGATTTATTAGTTTTTCTAATCAAGTGATGTAGTCATATATATGCATAATGTAACTTCCGACGACCAGTTCGTCTACAATATAATACAAACTTACCTAAAATAGCGACAAAGCTGTATTGAAACCAGACGATTCTTGGTCAAACTGACTAATTATTTCAATGACTTCTGAGAACCACATTAAAGAATGAAAGTCGAACAGACACTCATGTGGTTCTACTTCCGGGGCGAAATATATCATGTCATTTACGGATCCATTCGGTAATCCTCATTGCATAATGGACAGCCCGAAACACCGTCACAGCTGATGGCGGTAGAACGGAAATAAATATATAATTGATAGGTGTGATGTGCTTGTGTAGTCTTACACAAAGGAAGAAAAGTAAAAACATATTAATTCAAACAGCTACTTTTGTGCAAAATGTTAGAGGAAAAATTGAAAAAATAGATAAGTACTCTTTAATGTATTATATTAAAAGAATAACTGAAAATAACAATGTGACCATAATATAAATCTGTACCAATGTTGTCTGTCCGTTGCCTGAAATGATAAAAATTAAATCAGTATATACCTCTAACACTTCACGTTAGCTTTAAAGGTGCATGTATGTAGTCGAATTTCTGCTACCCGTATTATTATTCAAAATGAAAATCCCAACGTCCTGTTCGTCATTACAATCTAAGTTTTCAAGTAGTTATTATTCTCCCGAATCCTGCTTATGTATTATGCTATCATTGCCTATAAAAAAAGCTTTGCCTTTTCTAATTTGCACCCGAAATCGGATTTTAATTCTAAAAAGCGTATGGTACCTGGGCTAGCAAATATAATGACGACGACGAAATATAAAGATCATCAATATAGAAGACGTTTGTTCGCCGCCATCTTGAAACGAGCTCATATATTGGAGACTTATGTTTCGAATATGTAACCCTTCACCGGGACAGTTAATGAATAACTTTTAGACAAATAAAAAGGATGCTATTCCTGAAAGTACCTTGTTTTGATGCGGAAGATGTCGGACAAGTTCTAACTTCTATAACAGGTGTATCTGAAAAGACAGTCAATGATGCTCAATTAAAAGCTTTATTAGGGCATAAATTTGTTTTATTATATAGTGTTTCTTTGCTGATTTTTCACAAAGTATCGAAGTGAGACAAGGACGTTATGATATGTGCTTGATCTCAATTCGAGACATCTTTTCCTTTTAGTTCCTCCATTCTGAATCAGTCACAAGATACATCGTAGTAGAAAACTACTGGGTAGGTGTCATCTCGATCTATAGGAACTACTTGGACACGGCCGTAATAACGAGCAGACGTCTGACTCGACGGTATCTCTCTCAGAGTAAGAATTGTTACCCACCTGGTGTACAGTCTGCTTTGTGTTGTTTTTTACTTATTTCATACCAAGTCTTATATTCATCTTTATCTCTTATATTACACTTACAACCTTCTACATCTATACAACTTAATAATTCAGCATGCGATCTGTACAGACAGAGAATAATATTATGCAAGCCGAGTGCGATCATAACGCCTACGAGAAAGCGAGAAAAAAGGCAAAAAGTCGAGAGGCCGGGAAAAAAAGCCTGAATTCGAGAGAAAAAGGGCGAGAAATCAAGAGGCGAGAAAGTAATGAGTAGTTATGGCCACAGTCGGCTTCCATATAAAATTGTACGAAACATTCAGCAATCTAGTTCCAGAAATAGCTGAGGGAATATTTTCAGGAACGCAAGTCTTGATGTCTTGAATTGATCCAAAATAACAGTTTATACTGCATACATGTCATTGTTCAATCATCTATTTGTCATAAGAATTGTTATTTTTTGGGGTTTTTTTTGTGGAGGGGAGAGGGGGTGTTAATATTTTATGTATATGTATCCATTATAATCTAACAAGATTGCAACCACAGTTGGGTTCTAATGACGTTATTTTCAACCAATAAAAGAGTATAACACAGTACCCGTTTCTTGTTAAAATGGCGAATTGTGGGCTGGCGAAACAATTAGTAGAGCGACGTGACACCTTCTTTGGAGTTTTTATTTAGGAAACCCCTTCTTTGTCATTAATTCAAGGCAAATTAACCTCCCAATATTATTGACATATTAATATGTTATTGACCAATGAGAGACCTTTTAAAGATCAAGATGCGAATATAAAACTTACTTGCACAATTTTGAAGCATTTCGTTCATGTAAAGCCGTGGCTAGAGATGTATCAGCTTCTTGAAAACAATCTCTAGTACCAGAACAATGACCGACTATTGCCTGTGGTTGGGATGCTGAATACAAACAAACATGATTAAAGGGACAGTCTGATCTTTAAAAGTAAGTTTGAAAATTTATGCTCAAATTAATAAGAACTAAACACGGAAAATATATCCCCTCACCTCATCGTTTTAAATGAACGTATCTTGCGGTCAAATTGCAGAGAAATATGTTTCCATCTTATGATCAAGGTCTTAATAAAAAATATAGAGCCTTATTAAGTCCCAATACCAATATTAACGTTTTGAATAATGAAAATGTTGCACACTGCCCCTTTAACAATTTAATAATGAAAAAAGGACAATTGCTATTCTATAAATCAAGTAAATGAAACGGCATATTTACCGCTATTTACGTCATTGTGGGGTAGGTCTTGTTAAACCTTGTCAAGTAAACTGCTGGGATGGCTGGACAACACAAAATCTAGACTCATATTCTCGATTATCAATTCTGTTCTTACCTTGTAATAAACCTAATGATAACAATCTACCATTACTGGAACTTCCTTCATTAGGGCTGTTATCTGAATACACAAGGGATATAGTTGTATAACATTTGCTTTACTTGCTGATAGATCTTAAGTTTAGCCATCTGTATCACTTATCATTTACTTAATAAAATATTTTGTCACAATCCGACGTTTAGTTTGCCAGACAAAAACAATCAAAGTGTATCTTGGATCGATACAGTTGTCACTTCTAGCCGTTATAAATAGTCTTATGAGCAGATAATACTAGTATCATGATGTCGTCGGTCAGAGAATGCACGTGAGAATAGCAGATGAGTAAAGTCCTCTTTCATAGATGGTATTGATTGAAACTCAAGAGAACTACGCGCAAGCTATTAATAATGAAAAGTAATACGGATAGCTAAAATTGAGCTTTTTTATCTTTAACTGTGAGTAAGACGTATCTTTAATATTAAATATATCCCAGAATTCCTCACACACAAAGCTTTTATTGTTTTTAAGCTTTGATTGGTTGAATATCTAAGTCACCTAGAATACTTTGGGCACAACAATTTCCTCAGATCATGGTTGCAACCCACAGAAAAGAGGGAACTCGTCAACAACATTTCCAATTTAATCAGGTAGTTCAAATCTAAGGTATGCTTTTGCTGAGGATTATTAATTAAAATTATCTTACCAGGACATGGAATACCATTAGGAATTGAGATCAAACCTGAAACTGAAAAGGAAAACGTACATCATATGAGTTTTCCTGGTTTACAACCCTATTTATTGATATCTATTAGGGATCAACAAACACCAAGAGGGTGTATCAGAGGGGATCCTTGCATAGGCAATTTCAAATTATAGAATTCAGAATCCTTTGTTAATTGGTTGTACTAGTAATTCATAAGTTTGTGTCTAAATATTCACCTGTTTCACCGGCTACCATTGGTGGTCGAGGTAAAGATAGGCCTACAAGCATCTAATCAGGAGAAATAGATGTTCACAAAGTTGTTGTTGGGCTGTTGTTATTTCTGCCAGAAATCGAAGCATTTTATGTTATAGTGTATTGTATTGTATTACAGATGTTGCTGACAAAATTGGAAAGGAACATCTCGTTTTTTACAAAATTGCCCCCATCGCCCTTTACCTCCCATCTCAAAAAGGACAAAAAGATACAAGAACAAGATAAAATATAAATATGTACTTACTCTCTGCACAGTTTTCTTCCAAGTAGGTCTGGGTTATTAATGTTAAAGCCCGCAAAACATCAACGGACTGTTGCAATCCACATTTACAAGCTATATCTTCTGTGCAGGATATAAATGCTTTGTAACCACTGAACAATTTGAAAATGGAAAATATAACGGAATGTCAAAAATAATATTCTATAAACACTGACTTCCTACTAATAGTGCTCATTGATCTATTGAAAACAACACCATGCAGTGTACAATGACAAAAATAAAGACCTTACATCAACGTAAGCCTACGCTTCTTTTTCCAACTATCGATTTACCTTAATTGTCCCATTTTGAACAACAAGACACCTTTCCAAGTCAAGTTTTTCTTAAATAAAGTGAAGTGAAGAATTTGATTTGCTGAAAACCAATTTTAGTGATTAACCAGTCTTAAGACTGAAAGACTAATATTAGTCCCAAAAAGCGAAATGTGGTTGAAAAGGATGGCCCTTTTTATAGGATCTAAAATATAATTTGTATACTTACGGACACTGTGATACAGAATCTGGTTTGTTCGGATCCTGACCAGTCTCAAGGTATATCTCACACTTCCTATATGGTTTGGAGATTTGACACTCATCAACTGGCAAAACACCTGTGGTAAAACACGAAATTCTTTATATCTCAATTTATTCTAGGTTGAGCTGCAACCCGATAACGATTGATGGCCCGGTTAGCCAAACTTTACTCATTGTACACTGCACATCGCAAAACATTTATTTCTATTTATTGTTCATCCATCCTCTTTGAGAACCTTTCTCTAAGATCAACATCTAGATCTTACAAAAACGACCTGTGATCTATATCATAAATCAAAACAACGAAATGAAATTTCAGTATGACCATTTAAATTTGATCACACATAAGAATACGTTAGCAACTTTGAGAAGCGGTACTGAATAATGTGCAATTTAATTGAAGTATTCACAATCATCTGCTTTAAGTTGATACAGCAGCTATCTGTGTTTCTTTTCATGTGCTAAATTCGACATTCAGTTCAACTACAATCGAAATACAAAAAGAGAAATGGTTGACTCGTCCATGCAGATATCAACCATGACGTGATGATATCGATAATATCTGTATGATAGTGTTATACTACCCACCGAGAGAACGGAAATACTTACTCTTACAATCTATTTTCTCGGTTACACTATATATCTTATCAGTGACTAAAATATAAGATGAAAATCATCAACATCAATTTACCAGATTACAGCACGTAATCACTAGCAAAAGTTGATATTCACACATGAACCGCTACTACAATATAATTCACAGATAGATGCAATATGCTTCAGTAAATGTAAGCATAATATCATGTTATGTGTTAGACATTCGTAATACATTGACACTTTGAAGATGTCAACAAACAAACGAAAACCCACTGTTACATACTTTCAGAACAGACAGCATTGTAGGTCGTGCGTTCTTCTTCAATCTTTTTGACGATATCTGGCGAATCGTTCATGTCACATTTACAAACGGTTGGCTCGTAACAAGCTAAAAAATCTTCATTTGCTCTGAAAGAAATATTGACACATTGGTAATCATGTGGTCATGGCATATCTTACAAAGCGTTTTTCAAAGACTATTTTAAGGGACTATAGTCAAGAATAAAATATATAATATGTATTAAACAATACAACTTTGGAAAACAACAAAACACTAACCTATGAAACAAGTTACTTTACAAACAAAAGATGCTAATTATTGCCAATTTTGTACTGAATTTGTATTATGTCTTTACGTTAGTTATTCGAGCAATATGATACCTATTTTGGCTACATTTCACACAATTATGTTGCAAATGATGCCAAACTTGTTCTGTGTGAGTTTGTTGATGCTTTGGGTGAGGCTATATAGATATCAATATGCGGTTCAGGTAAAAAGACTTACCTGCAAAATTCTGCCAGATCTTTACTATACAGAGCTATACCACCTTTATCACTGAATGTTTTATAGCACTGTTTAACACCTGAACACATTCTGTCTAGGTTTATAACTTCTGGAACTAGAAAAAACCAAACTATGTTGTATGGTCGTTCAGTGAATAAATGAATGAATCCGACGGTTTTGAAGCAGTGACGGCTCCAGCCTCCCTAGAATGGGGGTACAAATAAGGGGCAGCCTGGCTCAGTGGGGGATAACACAGTCGAGGCTGAACACGAAATGTGGCAACTCTGTGGAGTCGTCTAAGAGGGTTCGTCCACGAAAATTATCGAAAAATTGAATTGAATTATTTTTTTCTTCTCCAGCACCTATTTTGGGGCAAAACCATTTTTCTAGGAACGTGGGGGGGGGGGGGGGGGGGGGGGGGGGGGCCTTGAAAAAAAAAGCCCCCACTTTTAAAAATTTTTTTGTCAAAAGGGGGGCCTTTAAAAAAAAAGGGGGAC